CTCCCTAGAAATACAAACACCTGCGAGAGGTATCGACTCGCAGGTAGTTCGTTAAAAGCATGAGTATTCGTGTCTGAAAATCTCGTTCTTCATTACAGAGATTACAACCGCAGCTAAAGACAAGACCAGGAGGACTAGAGCCGAGTCGCCGGCGGGCTCCTCTTTGGGATTTTCTTTTTCTATTTTCTAATTTCAAGTTATTATTTTTGTATATAAGGTGCAGGGTTTATTCAAAATAAATTGGGGTTATTTCTTTTTTGGTAAAACCTTGCGTAATTTATTACAATACCCATTTCTCCTCCGGACTCCTTGTTAGGGCCACCTATCCCTAACACATTGTCTTATATGTTATTTTATTCATTGATCCATTCTTTTTATTTCCAAGCATTTATTCAATCATCCGTCCATTCATTTAGTTACTGAATAATATATTCATTTAATTAGGATTTTGCCGATAGGCAGCGAATGGTAAAGGTATGAGTGAGCATAAGTGGTACGAAAGATTAATTTCTGTTGTCAATAAAAATCTTATTAAAGCTAGCACAAATCAAGCGAAGTACTTACCTCAAAGTATCGAGATTGAAGAGCATTAGAAAAAGGGGTTGAGCCAGGTAATCGCGGACGGGCTTTAGCAAATTTGTGAGGTTAAACACGTGACCGACATGAGTACGGAAAAACAAAGAAAGAGTTTTAAGAGGTAGGCCGTTGAAGCAAATTGCAAATGCAAAATTGTCTGTGGAAGATGCCAAACAGAGAACGCTCGTATTCGATAATAGAAAGCTGGAAGATAATGATAAGATAGAGGAACACTCCCAGATGATGGGCTACCTACTGGAAGTGCTGGAAGAGTTGAAGCAGGAGATTAAGGAAACTAGAAAAGAGAATGGGAAGACGAAACAGTTGATTAAAGAGATGGTGGGTCTAAAAGAAGAATTTGAGCTGAAGGAGAAAAAGTGGAATGAAGAGAAGCAAGAGTTAAATAAAAGGATGTGGGAGCTCGAACTGGCCGAAGATTACAAAAGGAGACAACAGCTAAAAAACATTATAATCAAAGATCTGCAAACAGGTACAGATATTGTAAATGATGTTAAAAGTTTTATGAGGGAGACGCTTCAAGTTGATGTAGAGTGGAAAAATTTGAAAGTACTGAATAATAAAACAGGTATAAACATGATTAGGATAGAATTAAAAACAGAAGAGTCAAAATTAGAAATAATGCGAGAAAAGAAGAAATTGAAGGGACAAAAGATATACATAGATAATAATGCATATACATAACTGACGAGGCAGGAGCAGGAGATCAAGAGAAAGATACTTAAAGAAGCGGCAAAAGAAAGAGAAAAAGGAAGCAGAGTTAAGATCGGATACAGGAGAATGTAAATAACAAGAAATACATATGAAAGGACGCATACGATCCAGGAAAAAGAGGGTTATTTCTTGGAAACGAGAAACAAGAATAAAATAGAAATCAAAGACTTAGACTCTTCACTTAACGCGGAAATGGCGTGCAATATATTATTTTGGAATGTTAACGGTGTGAGGAATCTGTTTAATCTAGGAAACGAGGATTTAAAGGATGGCTTAGGGAAATCTATATTGATATGTCTTAACGAAACGTGGGAGTTGCAGGATAACCTGAGGCTTCCGAGCTTCTTAAAAAAGTACAAATACTTAGTGAACAAGGCAAGTAAGGAACACACAAGAGGAAGAACTAGTGGCTGTATGACCCCAATCTGGTAAAGGGCGTAAGAATCCTGAGAGAAAGTGAAACATAGCTTATTATAGAATGTGAAATAAAGAGTAAGAGTTACATTATAAGCAACGTATATATTAAGGATGAAAAGAGCAGACATCAGAATAGAGTCCCTTAGAGAAATACTCGAGGAAGTTAGAGATAAACACCCTGGCATCTTTATTGTAGGAGGAGATTTTAACTCTAGAGTTGGTAATCTTAATTAGTTAGATGAGGAACTCACAATAAATTCAAGATTTCAAGCTAAGAGGGAGGCCTCAGATAGAACTATGCATAGAAGAGGAAAAATTTTGTGCGAAGCAATGGAGAAGTTAGTGTTAATGCTACTAAATGGAAGAAGCCTATCCGACAGAACAGGTACCTATACTTATATAAGCTCAAAAGGTTGCAGTACATGTTAAGGCCTTCCCCAACGGGGGGAGTATGTTTAATCGCGGAATAAACAGTTCGACCGCGATTCGAGAATTCCTTTTCGTTTTCAAGTGGTTCGGTCCGTAGGCCACCGTGAGCAGCCCTACGCCTCGAAATACGACTCGAGGCAGGGTCTTTGTCTCTTAATGTTTTTCCGTATCGGTCCTAGCATAAACACGTGCAAGTCGTAAACCACTCGAGAGTTTGCCTTCGCCTCTCATGGCGAGTATTTTGTTTAAACATTATCCCCTCTCGTACGGATATTCTCAGCCTATCGATGCATAACTTTCGGACAGTCGTTACGAGGAATCGAGAGGAATTAGAGTGGGTTCGCGATTCAGAGCGTTCAGAGCAATATCTCGCTCCTCGGAGCTCCGGCGAAATTTGAAATAAGAGTATCGCGGTGCGTGATAATAGTAGTTCCGTTTTGTTCTATGTTCGCATATCGAGTTACCGATAAAGTGTTGTGGCCGCGAAACCGTCTTACGCCGCATCCGCGATCAGGGAACTCTGTCTTCCTATAAATCGGATCGCATCCGCGGTCAGGGACTCTGTCTTCCCATAAATCGGATCGCACTCGCGATCAGGGAAGGGGGTTCATCGGAACCCCTCTCGTCCCATAAACGCGTCGCCTTCGCGACCAAGAAGGGGGATCATTCAAATCTTTCTTGTTAAATACTGACGGAAATCAGATACTCCGAATCTTCTACAATGTTATTCGTTAGTCACTCCGAGCGATTCGTCCTTATTACACAAATCGTTTGTTCAATTTATTACGCAATAAATATTCTTCTTTTATGAGGTTTTGGCCGCAAGGTCTTTTTCCTCGGGGTTTACCCCCAAAATTACGATTTTATTTATTATTTTTACTTCCCCTTACACCTATCCTCCCAAATATTCCCTATCCTATTATTAATAAAAATTTGAAACACGCAAGTCAAGCAAACAGCTTATTTGCGACGTAACAGTACAATAGATCTGGTGTGGATGGAATTGGCAGCGATGGACGATGTGTTGGACTTGGAGATTAAGGAAATGGGTACCTCTGATCATCTTCCTCTGATGCTGATATTGAATAGTAATGTTCAAAGGGTAGATAAAACAGGATGGCAGCTTAGGGAAGCTCAGAGTTATCTACGGGATAACTATACATGGTGTCAGAAGTGCATGCTTAATCGCGATTAATATGTACGAGAAGAATCACGATGGCTAGCGAATCCCACGTGTCGACAACTTCGGTAGCGACGATTTCAAACGGTCGCCTTCCGAATGAATTTGATTTTGCAAAGCCATTATTATGGCCTACGTAGTTAAAAAGATTTGAACGGTACATATCAGTAGCGAATCTCTCAGAAAAATCGGAGAAAGAGAAGATAGATTTATTGTGCTACGTCATGGGAGAGAAATCGGAAGAAGTGTTGGATCAGCTTATGCCGGAGATGGGCGATAACACGACGATCGAAATGGTAAAGGGGAAATTTACAGAGTATTTTTCGCCAAAGAAGAACACTATCTTCGAGAGGTTTAAATTCAACTCCAGAGTACAGCAGGCAGACGAAAGTAACACTTTCGTAACAGCCCTGTACACTTCAGCAAGTACGTGCGAATTCGGTGCGTTAAAAGAGGAATTAATTAGAGACAGCATTGTGATCGGTACCCGAGACACCAAAACCTCAGAACGCTTGCAATTAATAGCAGATTTAACTCTGGAATAAGCTATAACGATAGTTAGACAAGCGGAAGTGCAAGTGAAAGAAGGCAAGTTTATTCGTAAAGAAATCAGTGATCGCAGTGAGGTCAATCGGGTAGCAAGTTCACGAGACAAAAAACATTCGAATCCGGGAGGTAACGAACCGTACGCGGAAAAGGAACACAGCGCCGCCACCAAGAACACGCCGATGCGAAGAAATGTCCAACGCTGCACTCAACGTGCCGAAAATGTAAGACGATCGGGCATTGGGATCGCGCCTGCAGGTCGAATAACCTTCACCAAGGCGGAGAGACCAACAAACAGAAACCCAGCGAAGTTCATCACGTAGAAGACGGTTCGGACGAGGATACGTTTTTCTTAGGCGCGGTATCTAAAAAGCGTGGAGTTTCTTGTGGATATCGGCGCGGACATTACGTGTGTTCCGCAGGATTCGATTCTCGAAAATTTCGAAAATAAAATACTACCTACGCGGAAATTAATTCTCGGACCCGATGAAAAACAGCTAAATGTAGTCGGGGTTATGAAAGTTAGTTGCGTGAGGATTTCTAAAACGGTGAAATGTAATATGTATGTCCTACGTGGCTTAAAACAAAATTTGTTAGGGAAACCAGAAATTAACGCGTTAGAAATAATTAAGAGTATTAATGGTTTGAACATAGTAAAATCTAGTGAGAAAATTGTACAGGAGTATGGTAATATTTTTAACGGTCTGGGACAATTTAAGAGAGAACTGAAAATTCACTTAGTAGAGAATGCACAGCTTTTCTTTCAAACTACGCCACGAGTCGTCCCTATAGCCTTATTACCAAAGTTGAAGAAAGAACTTAAAAAATTAGTAGAGGTACAGGTAATCAAACCAGAGATTTTCCCACGGATTGGTGCAGTCCAATAGTTGTAGAACAAAAGCCCAAGTCGGATAAGATTCGCTTATGCTGCAATTATACAGAACTTAATTCTTGGGTCAAACGCGCGGTTTTCCCAGTGCCAAAAATAGATGTTGCACTTGCGAAACTAGAGAGAGCAAAAATACTTTCGAAGCTAGATGCGAAAACTGGATTCCATCAAATACGGTTAACTGCGGAAAGTCAATGTGTAACCACATTTATTACTCCCTTCGGTCGGTACATATACACGCGCTTGCCATTTAGTATTAATTGTGCCCCCGATTATTTTTCAAAAATGTTTTCGGACTTATTTGCAGACTTAGAAAACGTGATTGTCCATATAGATGACATTCTAATTTACGCTGGCTCTGAGGAGCAACATGATAAAATGTTGAGAGTAGCTTACAAAATGAAGGAGTGACCCTAAATAAAGAGAAATGTAAATTCTCGGTACAGGAAATAAATTTTCTGGGACACAAAATATCAGAGCGGGGAGTCGAAATTTTACAAGAACGCGTAGCTGCGATTGTCGATTTCCCTATGCCAAAAAATAAAAATAGCCTATTGCAGTTTTTAGGCTCAATAAACTATATTGGTAAGTTCATTCCTCATAAATCAAAAATTTTAGAGCCGCTAAATGCTCTTTTGAAAGATAACGTTGACTTTGTATGGATGGATCGACAAATACAAGCGTTTAACACGATTAAAAAATATGTACAATCAGCGCCAACTTTAGCTCACTTCAATCCGCTGAAAAGCATTATTGTTCAAGCCGACGCATCTAGCTACGGGTTAGGCGGGGCGCTTATGCAGGAGGATATGAGCAAAAATTGCGAAATAGTGGCATACAACTCTAGAACGTTAACAGAATGCGAGAGGCGGTACAGCCAGATTGAGAAGGAAACTTTGGCGTTAGCTTTTGCGGCAGAACGATTGAAGGAGTATATAATAGGGCTAAACGTAATTCTCGAAACGGATCACAATCCGTTAGTGCAAGTCCTGCAATCTAAACCTCTTGATGAGTTAACACCACGTTTGCAACGTATACGGATGCGTCTTATGCATTATAATTATAAGATCGTTTATGTACCGGGTAAGCAATTAGTTCTAGCATATTTTTGATCGCGGAACCCGTTGGCAGATCCTGGCAGAAAAGAGAGAGATCTCACGGAGGAAGTAAAAGCATATGTTAATTTCGTCATAAGCAATTTGTATGCGAGGGTTAGCTTATTAAAAAGGATTCAATCTGAACAGGAAAGCAATTACATATGCTCTTTATTAAAACAGTGGTGCCTAAGTGCATAGTCTTCGAAAGCTCGCCTATCAGACAGTGTACTACCATATTATCAATACAAAGATAATACTGTGACGGCTTCTTGCTGTTTAATTCGCGATTAGTCCGACACTTCAACTGGAAGTTTTGAATAAGATACATAAAGGCCATTTTGGAATCAGTAAGTGTTGAGATAGGGCAAAGCAATCAATGTGGTGGCTCGGTTTGAGCACACAGTTACGTAACTTGGTCGAAAACTGTCCGAACTGTATTCATGAGAAAAGAAATATAGCTCAACCGTTCGTTAAAGAAGACTTTCCGGAAAGGCCGTGACAAAAGATAGCCTTGGATTTGTGCAAATGGAAACAATGGTTTTTAATCATAACGGACTACTACAGTCGATTTTTCGAGATTTGTCCGTTTAAGTCCATGATCGAGTCGGAAATTATAGAGAAATGTAAGGCTGTGTTTGCTAGGTTTGGAATCCCAGAGATTGTAAGAAATGACTGAAGCACACAGTTTTCTTCAGGATTCCGGAAATTCGCAGACGAATTTGATTTTAAACACGTTACTAGCTCTCCAAAATTTTCACAAAGTAATGGTGCAGCGGAAACCGGAATGAAAATTGCGAAGGCTACATTAAAAAAATGCGATAATATTAGTCTGGGTCTTTTGGCCTATCGGTCAACACCGCTTGAAAACGGTTTTTCACCTGGTGAGTTGTTATATTCGAGGAAAATACGCTCCCGCGTTCCGGTCTTGCCTAAGAATTTAGGTACTTTTACGCAACATGAGCATATAGTTCTTAAAGAAAAAACAGAAAAGGAAAGGCAGGAGCGTATGTATAACAAGCGGCATCGCGTTACGAATTTATCGGAATTAGCTATAGGAGATAAGATATGGATTATTGACATGCGATCGTACGGGGAAGTAGTAGGCAAAGATTCAAGCTCAAATTCATTTATACTTAGTACTGAGCTAGGAAACACAGTTCGCCGTAATCGGTGGCCGTTAGTTCCTGCACCGTATAAACAGGAGTTAGTAGAGATGGACAGTGGTCCGCCGTTTATACCCGATGATATGCCGGATGACACCAGGGAAACAGCTGACACGGCGAAAGGCATAGCGTCCCCTTTGAACATGAATGCGAGTCCTACGCGGAGTACCGTTACTCCTAATATATCAGAAAATACTCGGGTAGAAGCGCGTCTAGATAATGGTGGCAACTCGAGCGTACCAGCACCTACAGTGAGTAATCTCGATGACTCTATACGCAGTGACATGCAGCGGAGGTCAGTGTAAACCTCCCGAACGTCTGAATGTTGGAATGTAAGCTTTGTGAAATTATTTTTAAGTCTTTTCAATAAAAAGGGAAAGATGTTATGTGAGCGCTCCGGACTAGGGAGTTTTGGCTCCGTAAGTAGATGCGCCATCTGGCGTAAGAGAGGTTAAGGACGGGACTCGAAAGAGGTTTTCCGGTCAGTGGCTAGACGGTGTATGCAAGGAGCGCGAGCACGAGGCTGTAGAATATAAAGTAAAGTCTTTCGAGCTCCATTATTTTCCCCTCCCTGTTCACCACGCGGAATCAGAGTTATCTACGGGATAACTATAGATATCCAAAGGGGTATTGCAGGGAGATTCTCTAAGCCCGACACTTTTTGCGCTGTTACCCTATGATATAGACGAGTTTTTCATAAAAAAAGGGGCACACGAGAATAATTAGCAAGATGGAACTCTTGCTTTTGCGGACGACCTAATTCTAACGTCACCAAGTGTCTCAGACCTGCAAGATAAGCTGAATACGCTGTCGGAGTATTTTAAGGAAAATATACTGGAAGTAAATGTGGATAATACTAAGATTCTAGTAGCGACTAAATCAGGGAGAATGGACAAACTGAAAGAAGTTATGTACGAGAACAAAGAAATAGAATACGTGAAGGAATACTGCTATCTGGGCATAACTACTTCTAACAAGAGGAGTGCACGACCGTGGAAATCGCTTTTCAAATGACGATGTCTTTAAATTGTAATATATATGTAGTAGTAAAAAAGCCTATTAGGTTTCGTCATCATGGGCCTTCGTTTTTAAGATAATTAGGTTTAAAGTTTTTTAGCTCCATATAAG